GTACATGTACCTGTGGATTGCTCTGGTATTGACACTCTATCCTGGCTTTCTCGTCATGAATCATCTCGTCAATTTCTTCCAGTGTATCAGGGTACTGCTGAAATGCCTTCAAAATGAGACCAAAATAGAAAACGTCTCACTTTCAAGCAATCCATGACATTGTACATTACACACTGAATGTATCAAATGATTTTCTTCTCTTTTCTGGAGAAGAAGATAAAAAGTAAAAACAGAAAAAAAACTTTTACATTAATCTTATTGGTGCTGGATAAAAACAATGGTGTTTAGTGAGACAAAAATTTTGTTTAGGAAAAGTTGTGGCCCCCTCCTGAAAAGGGCCTTACAAAAATTTGAACTGGCAAAATTATACATTATAGCAGAGCTTCAGTGACCTGAAGGGCTGCCAAGCAGAGCACCATACTCATAGGAACCCATGAATTGCTTTTCTCATGGTCAACTTGGCTAGTGGTATTGCTAACAGACACGTATGCACGACAATGAGGATGTGAAACATGGTGGTCATACTCCAGCTGATAGGTTGACCCAGAAAATGCAGGCTCATTTTACAGCATATATCTTTGATACTGGACATCCATGTCATGTTAACAAACACCTGTCAAAAAAAGGTATCCACCGACCAGTATCCCGTGACCATATTGTGGGCTCAAGTTTAGAGCTCATTTAGGTCACATGTTTTTTTTTTTAAGTTGACTGCTGCCCAGTTACTGGTTTTCAATTGGATCTTAGGCTCAAGACAGGTTGACCTACTGTAATCAGGAGCTGCACTTTTAGACTTGGCTAAATCAATATATTAGAGTCATACACAAACTGCTAACAAAGTGGCCAACCTCCTTAAGTTCATTTGGTAAGTCAGCACCATCTGGGATTCCCGTCTTCTCATTGGCAACCTTTTTCAGGTCTTTTGCTAATTTCTTCTGAGTTTCTAAAGTGTTGTTTATTCTCAGATATTCTGCCTGAAAGAACAACAAACATCATCAGTTATTTTAATTNATTGATCATCACTAGAGTGGTTCTCATTTGAGTGTCAAAAAGTAATTGGTTTTGGATTACTACCCTATGAGATTGGCTTAAAAAATCTCGCGCCAATTTTTCATCCGATCAGAAGTAAAACCAAAACCAATCATAACTCATTCGCACTTGTTTTCCCACGCTTTGCGTCAGCCACATATAATTATTTTGAGTTTTGATTGGTTCACTATATTGTCTATGTCCTTTGTGACTGGCTAGAGTGATAACTTTGGTTTTGGTTTTATGACACTCAATTGAAAAGGGCTCTACTGAAAAATCACATTATCATATACATAAATGAAAGGACAAATGAAACAGACAAATAAAAGTACACATATACATCCAACTATCATGAGTAAATTCCAACCTTATCTGCATTCTTGGTTGTCCAGTCATTTCCCAAAGGGATGTCATGTATACGGTTATTCTGGCAAAGATACCGCATCACATCATCATGTGCAGTGAACAGGTCTTTCAGAAAACAGTAAAAACCCCACTTTCTGAAAACAAAGCCACAAAAAAGTAAAACATAATACAAAGAAATGAAAATAATGAAATGAAATGAAATAGAGTAAAATAAAAACAAAACAAAGCAAACCAAAAACAAAACAAGTTACTGTGGGTGCCCAATTAAATCTACCAGGACATTATTATAGTAATATTAATTATAGATTTAATCATCAATAACTACAATATAAAATATAGTTAAATGGAATTTAACATAGATAACGACTAGGAGCTAGTCTGGTAAGTAGTGTCTTGGCCATATGTTAGCGTTTGTTTAGCGTTTGGTGCATTCTGTAGCGTTTGATATAGTTCAATGACATTTTACATAGTTTATGACCAGGAGCTAGTCTAGTCAGTAGCGTTTTTTGTAGGCGTTTGTTAGTGTCTTGGCCGTCTGTTAGCGTTTGTTAAGCGTTTGGTGTGTTCTGTAATGTTTGCAGCAGTCATATGGTTGTGGGAGCCCTGGGGCTGAGATTGTCCAGTGGTATTCTTGGTTAGTACATGCGTTATTGTCCCATGTGCTTGCAGTGTGTTCATTGCTCTGTTAGCGTGGCGTTGTGGGTTGAATTATAGTAGTTTAGCAGTTCTCGGCATTCTCTCCCTACCCCCTACCCC